AAAAAGGCAAAAAGAAATATCTGATGAGACTGGGACTCGAACCCAGGAGGATTTCTCCACCAGGAAATTGGTGTTAAGGTTGACCTTAACCTGGGCGCCATAACCAACTCGGCCATCTCACCGACGCTCGGTGGCGGGTCACAGTGAATCAACCACTACAACTGTGGAATCCAGCCAGTTTCACGGATATGATCACAATATTTTGTCTTGATTTATGGTACTATTATGTTAATCCTCCCTATGAAGATGTGCAAGCCACAGGCGGTATCAACTCCGGTTATCGTGCCATGTCTAAGACCATTATCTAGGATGCGGTGAGTCCTATGATTCAATGCTTTTCATGAGCAGTGAATGTTACATTTATTTCCGAACATCCGCAGTTACGGGGACAGTAGACCGCAGGCATTCCAAATCCCACATGTGGTTGAGTGCTTGTTGTTGTGTTGCTGTTTTCAGCAACAGGTTCCTTGACAGCTGGAGGATCTGTTTTTGGTACATTCTCTTCCTTCTTGGTATCGGTTGAGGAACTCATTGTGTTGTAATGTTATGGAAATATTAGTTTCTGGAGATGTAGTAGCTAGAAGTGCGAGTGTGATTGTGAAGAATGATTGAGTAGATAACATATTTCAGAGCCATTATATACTCGTCAAGGTCCAGTGAGACAGCCACGAAGTTCATATCAATAAGGTAGTTTGGAAAACTGAGGCTCAAACAGCTTAGCGTCAATGATGTAAAATCGAAGGCGAGATGTAAATGCGAAACGGTCAAGCGAGGAGTCCCTGTGATTGATATGACGCCGGGTTGTGAATCCGCTTTATCTTTATTACAGTTCGCAACACTTGACGTGATCAAGACACCATGTACCTATAGAAATAAGATTGTACTTACAGTTGTAAAAGAATTTTCAGTTTGGCATAAAAGTATAGACTGCCACCAGAGCAAGCTCTGATTATGTGACCTGGTTGCACTCTAACCGACATACTTGCATAGGTTTCCTCACAGCATCTATATGAGCAACTTAATAGATTATTATGACGATTATAATCACAGCCTTCTAACTGAGGCTTGATCCCTTCAGTCCTGAGTCGATTAAGAATCCCAAGTCCAGTTCCACTGAGTAACACAGTCCCTGCACTCCCAGCACGTATGAGAATACCAGCGATACTGGGGACCTGAAGAAACAACCTCCAACTGATCAACCTCCGTCTGCCCAAGCGAAAGAACACAGTTCATGTTACTGCTCCATTCGAAACCCCAAGCGTAACAGTCAGGGTTAGTATGGCACATAATAGCGCACTGCACAGGTTCGCGGATTTCAGGCTTCCAATCAAGAGGCAGCTTCCTATACTGCGAAGGGTTGACGATCATGAGCGTTCCACCGCAGGGACCTTTTTCCTTCTCAAATGGTCTCTGGCAGATACCCTGGCCGAATGACCAGTCACATGGCTGCTCGACGGGGCCGGGGGTTGGTGTTGGTGTTTCTGTGATGGCTTGTGTTGTGGCCTTGAAAGACACCGGAATTTCTGGCTTGGTTGTGACGGAGCGCACGAGAGTAGTAGATTCAGAAGGAAGCCAGGAAGTGGTCTCAACGGTGGGTTCATCATGACAAGGACAGGTCATGCAGTCGAGATCGTGCCAATAGTAGATACCTTCCTCGACTGAGTCTTGGTTTGGATCCTGGGCCATGACGAAGTCATCATCTGAAACCTGATGCGTGGAGAAACGGCATGATCTGTCATTTGGCATCCAAGCCGCGGACTTGCAACCGGGATATAGAGAGCACCACCCGACGCACCACATCTGACTCCATGCCTCAGGATAGTCTCTAGGCCGCTCAATAGCAAATCCAGCACCGTCACTTCCCGGCCATCGGCCACGATAGGCACAGGAGGGCAGGCTACCTCCCTGAGACCTTTCATTCCAGTGGCAGCCATCATCGAGCGCCTTGGGGCAAGTTGACGCAGCAGGCAGTCGGGCAAGTCCGGTAGGATCAGCAGACTGAGTGGTTGTCGCAACAGTAGTAGGGACAGGTTCGTCATTACAAGGACAGTTGAAGCATGAAAGATCATGCCAGTAGAACACGCCTTCAGTGTCGACATTAGGATCAGGGCCAGGAATGAAGTCATTATCCTGAACCTCATGTTCAGAGAAGCGACATGTGCGATCCTCCTGGATGAACGCAACAGACTTGCAGCCAGGTGAGAGAGAACACCAGCCCAAGCACCAAAGCTGACTCAAAGGTAGAGGATAGTTGTCAGGACGAGGAACAAGGCGACCCTGACCAGTGGATCCAGGCCATGAACCTCGACTGGCGCAGTTGACCATATCGTTACCATTGTCGGGGCGCTTCCACCAACAGCCTCCGTTGAGTGCCTTGGAGCAGAAAGGCTGCTCGGGTGCTGTGCTGGTTGTGCCAACGGCAGGCACGGTTTGAGATTGGGTTCTAGAGGGGGGCTGGCTAGTAATCTCGGCATTGGAGTCACCTGTTGAGGTCTGCTGTGATTCAGGCTGAGTTGAAGCCGCCTGGCTGTCTGGACTAGTGGTTCCTGTATTGGTGGACTGCTCGGGGGCGGCAGACGTGGTTTCTTGCTGGCCGGCAGTTGTAGTCTCTTGCTGTACAGCGCCGGTTGTGGTGTCTTGCTCGACAGAGCTAGTTGTAGTCTTCTGCTGGGGCGCAACAGTCGTAGTCTGGGGGCCTACTGGTGGTGGATCTAGAGTTGGATTGGCACCAGTACCGATATTACCAAAGTTGATAGCAAAGTCGTTGATGTTCTGCGGTGTGACAGCATTGGAGATGAAGACAGAGTCGACGAGAACCGTCGCTCCACCACCAACAAGACAATCCATTGCGATGCGGAGAGGAGCATTGACCTGCGCTGGAGTGACAGCTTGGAGAACCTCGTTCCAAGATACAGCCGTGCCAGTGCTGAAGACCCAGTTCTGGTAGAAGGCGCCGCCGCCGAGATAACCTGTCAATTGACAAAGGTTGATAGATGCAGGCGAAGTGACGACAAGGTAGTAAAAGCGAATAGTATAAGGCGTCGAAAGATCCAAGTTGGACATTGTCTGTGAGATACTAACAGAAATACCCATGGCACGCTTTCCACTGCCCGTGTTGGAAGCACTCATGGCAGCACAGCCTCTTTCAGTGCTTCCCGGCTCTTCACGTCCCGCATCTCCAACAATGCGAGCGTCACCGTCAACTTCCCAACCAGGGACAGAAAGAGGGTTGTCGGGATCGATTTCGGCCATGTTTCCATTGGTCGCCATGTTGCGAACCCGAGGGAGAGTTACGACGCTTGTAGCGGTCGATGAGCTTGTTGATTCGGTAGCAGATGAAATGAGCGTGGGGGTGGTGTTGCTGGATTTTGGCTTGCAGGCACTGCCAGCGACTAAGTCGGCGGTGGCGAGGGCCGCCAATACCAGGATAGAACGCATCGTGAACGAGTGAGAACGAGTGACGGGGCTGAGATCAGAAAGACCAACGGACGGAGATGCAGTAATAAAGGGAATTGGGTGTTTTAAAAGGCATCGTCAAGTAGCAGCGAAGCGAAGAGGCGCATCTCATTTCAACCGCGACAATGACCGCTCGGATATTCAGTCAATAGCTCCATGAGGCGACGCCTCAAAACGTGAGCTAGCCCAGAACTGCACCATCTTGTGGTCATATTAGTCCAGCTTGAAAGGTTGAGTGAATTAAGTCATATCGCCTATCCTTATAGTGTCATCGACAAGTGAAATTTGGTGGGTTTTGGGCTTTACTGGTGGACCCCTGGAGCGTTCGGGACTCAATAGTCTTCAGCGCTATTGAGCCCAAAAATCGATAAACTTTTAGAACCCCTGGCGCTAGCTGAGCTGCTAAGGATGAATAAGCATAGTGGAGGTATCCAACCTCAGGGGTTTTGCGGCTAAGGCTTGAGCCACTATTGAAAGTATGCTTGATCTAAACGTTCCGACTCTCACTTCAAAAAGTCTCTATCAGTGTAGTATTTCCTTCTATTTGTTTTCTAACACAATTTCGACAAAACCATTCGCATTCTTCGAGAGATATATGATAGACACAATGACAGCATCAAAGAACTTGTTCCTCGTGACAATATGTTGTACAAACCGGGATGCAGAATTGGAGCCGCGGTGCTAGCTTGTTACTAGAGCTGTTCCCGACAACCCATTCTCATGCGTCAAGGAAGGATTTACCCTTATTTGGGAGAAGAAAGTTGGTGAGATCAAACCGGCGCCACTGAATATCTTGTTTTACCTGGGTGGTGTTACTTCGGGCTCCTCGTCCTTGACTTCGGCTGGAAATACTTTCACTTTTGATACCTCTGCTGCCCAAGCCGTACTGTATCATACTTGTCTCTCGTCATATTTCATAAGCTATATTATCCATACCTATCCCCAGTTCAAATAGTCCTCAAGTAGGGATAGGAACATGTTCCTTCATGTAGGTCTCTGGGAGCTTTGCATGGGTTCTTGATTATTCTTCTCAGCCATCAACCTGTGATAGAACCGATCTAATATCTCCCATATGGTCTCATCTCGCATGTACCTAGCTCTCAAAGCATCGACATGTTCTACTTCCGTGTTCCTGCGTGTCGCATTCTCAGTGAGAAAAGTCAGAGCCCCTATCTCCTGTTCGAGCTCACACGCTTCACTCAAGGCTGACACTTGGCTACCTATCGAATCTATACGAGCTCCCTTATCGAGGACCATGCATATTGAGTCTTTGCAAGATTCTAGTTTCTCTTTCATCTCTATCAAGGATACGAGGTCGCTCTTGGCTTCCACGAACCTGTCGAAGAAATCTCGGAGCAAAAAGAGAGCTTCCCAGGCCATTGCTCCAACATCAAGAAGAACTTGTGTGCATCGCGGGTCGTCGGCATGCAAGAGTGCTGAGAACAGTGGACACGTATCACTTGGATGGGTAGGATCACGAGGTGGGCCCAGATCAACTCCCCTTTGGACCATCAGTTTCAGCAACTGGAAACGCGTCTCTCTCATTCTTTCCGCTCTATCTGGCGGAGACTCTTCAATTTCCTCCGCATAGTCCTCATCGAGGCAGAAGTCCAGCAGCAAGGCTCCCCTATTGTTGGCGAGATTGATCGTCAGATTGGCGCCAAGT